AGAGACAGTCCGGGCCCGTTGGAATAGGTTCCAGGCCCTCTCGAGGCTATCCTTTATTTTCTATCTGTTTATCTCCACAAGATTCTCCGCTATAAATCCTTATATCTAATATTTCCTGCTGCTCACACTCAAGAAAACTCTGGGAAGCTGTGGGGGTGGTGGGTAAACGCCCCACAAGAAAGTGAACTGAGTGTGTGGCTTGAGCATATATGAGACCACAAAGCCCACCTCCACAGTGACACACTTCCTCCAACAAGGCCACACCCACTCCAACAAAGCCACACCTCCTAATAGTGCCACTCCCTATGAGCTTGTGGGAGTCAGTTACATTCATTATTGAAGGAAGTCAGGACAGGAACTCCCATAGGACAGGAACCTGGAAGCAGGAGCTGATGCAGAGACCATGGAGGGGTGCTGCTTACTGGCCTGCTCCTTATGGCTTGCTCAGCTGGCTTTCTTACAGAATCCAGGACCACCAGTCAGGGGTGGCACCACCCAACCCTCAGCCATCAATCACTAATTAAGAAAATGTCCTACAGGCTTGCCTATAGCTCAGTCTTATGGGGGCATTTTCTCAGTTGAGGTTCCCTCCTCTCTGGTGACTTAGCTTGTGTCAAGTTGACATAAAACCATCCAGGACAGCAGGCGCTGTGGCAGCAGATGGATTCAGATACACCAGGCAAAGGGCAGGTCAGGGGGGCCTTCTGTCCCAGGGGATGCCAGGCTGGGGCTAGGGGCTGAACAGGGAGCACAGGTCTGGAGGTCCAGAGTCAGGAGGAGCCGGGTCCTGGGGAAGCAGTGTCAGTGGAGGAATGCGAACCAGACAGGACACATTTTCATGCCATGGAGACAGGGGACTTCTTCCTTCAGCCTTGACACCTCTCCTCAGCTCAGGAGTCCTGCAGAGCACAGGAGACAGTGGCCTTTCCAGACCTAACCCTGCAGTGGCTTCTCTCACCACCCCAGGCCTCTCCTCACACCGTGACGTGAGCGGAGGAACTTCTCAAGCCCCAAGTCAGCGCTGCTTCAGAGCACAGGCCTTCAGTAAGTGCAGGAACAAGGCTCAGTGCGAACCGCTGGCCGGACCCTGGGATCTACACCTTCCCCAGTGTTTCTGTCTGGGGTCCATCACACCCCAGCCCACACCGTAGGGGAAGCAGATCTGTCTCTGAGGGAAGACTGAAGGGTGTTACCTGTCGGCTGAAGTCCAGACTGTCCTAGAAAAGAGAACAAAATAGACACGTAAGTGCATGGAGGCAGATCTGTCCCCAGACGCATGTCCCCAGACTCCGAGCTGCTACCCGAGATTCTTCTGGCATCACAGCCCACAGCAGCCAGGGCAGAGGGGAGTGTGGACAGGGAGGGGCTCAGGAAGCCTCAGTCACACACCAGCCCAGTGGCTGTTCATTTTTGCTCTGTTCCTGCCCCGCCAGCAGGGCTTTAACGGGTTCTCAACCACCCTAAGGACGGAATGTAGGGACAGGAGACACAGGAAATACACCAAGTCAAGATTCTGATCAAGGTGCAACTTTATTTTTCTCCAGGAAGGTTTATATAGTTCCTGCAGGGTGAGGGGAGCAAGAAGCTGTCATCTGCATAAGGTGGGGCAAGCTAACAGGATGTTTGTATAGGATCTTTACAGGGTGAGAGGGTCAAGGGCTCTGACTCAATGTCCTGTTTCTAGGCAACTTGACTGTAAGATAATCTAGTTCCCTGTCTTATGGGGGTCTGTATTTTTCCACTAACTAGAGATTCTGTCCTTGTCCCTGACATGTTTCCAGTTCTCAAGTCAGAATCACCTTAACGTCCCCATCTCCATATGTTATCACTACTTAGGGTTCAATCCAATAACTACAGACTGTTGTGTTCAGAGTTCACAGAGCCAGTGACATCCTGAGAACAAAGCCATGGATCTTCCCTGAAATGCTGTGGAGTCTTGGCCCTCACCAGGCTCCTTACCTTTCTGGTTCCTGAAGTAGATGAACAGCCCCAGCCCGAGGAAGAGCAGACCCAGCACGAAGCCCCCGACTCCACTCAGCATCTTGTTCTGTGCAGATGTGGACTGTGCCCCTGAGAACGGAGGCCATGTTTAGAGGTTTTCAGCCCAAATCCCATTTCCTTCTAGGATTCTGAGATCTTTGAGATCAAGGAAGAAGCCTGTTCTAGAAGAGCTGGAATCGAACACTCCTGGTGATATCTGACAGCAATCCAACATCAGAGTTCACACCATGAAGAGACTTAATATGGCCGCCTGAGCTGACAGGAAGCCTCTGAGCTCTGAGACCCCACAGTCCTGAGGGTGGCAGACCTAAGCAAAGGCAGAGCTGGGACTGGACGTCCCTGAGGTCAGCCATGATCCTGGGCTGCTGCTTGTCACCAGGAGCAGCAGTCGAAACAACCCAGCCAGAGGCAGAGGCTGCAGCCCAGGCCAACCAGGTCTTGGACCTGTGAAGTCACTGGAAGGCTCAGAAGAGTGTGTGGTGGCACAAGTGCTTCCCAGGGGGCAACGGTGCTTGTTGAAGCATCGCACACCTGCCCCTGTGAGCCGCGCTTAAGGAGTGGACAGCACAGACCAGTGGAAACAGTGTGGGCAGAGAAAGCTGACAGGCAGGGGTAAGCCACGCCCCCTCCCTGGTGGGCGGGGATTCTCAGGGTCAGAGAGCTGATAGGCTGGGGTAAGCCACGCCCCTCCCTGGTGGGCGGGGATTCTCAGGGTCAGAGAGCTGACAGGCAGGGGTAAGCCACGCCCCCTCCCTGGTGGGCGGGGATTCTCAGGGTCAGAGAGCTGATAGGCTGGGGTAAACCACATCCCCTACCCCATGGGCAGGGGTTCTCAGGGTCAGGAGCTTCCCACTCACTCCACTCCACTGTGGCAGGGCTGGTCAGGCTGGGATGCTCCACCTGGCAGGTGTAAACCTCTCCACTCTGAGGAACCGTCTCCAGCATCACCAGGGTCTGGAAGGTCCAGTCTCCATTCCGGATCAGGCCGGTGGACACGACCCCAGTCTTCTCCTCCTGGCCGTTCCGGAACCATCTGACTTCAATGTGTCCGGGGTAGAAGCCGCTCACAGAGCAGACCAGGAGATTGTGGTGGTCCAGGGGCTGCGTCTTTGTCGGGTACACAGTCACCTTGGGCTCAGCTAGAGGAGAAAGGGAGGTGAGAATAAGTCACGAGGGCGGAGTGTCCTCCCAGGTTGTCTGTCTGTCTGCCTCCATCCACCCAGGTGAAGTCCAGGCAGGACTCCCAAACCTTCCTGTGATATTAATCCTGATCACAGGGCCTGTTGGATCTCAGGAACTCTAAGGATTTATTTTATTCCTCAAACAACTTTTCATTATTGAGTTTAAGTATTTTCAATTTTTACAAAACATTGTATTAATTAAAACCAGGGAAGAAGAGCAATCCTCCTCGGTTGCATGTTCCTCACAGACTGAAGGCCGTAACTGACAGGCCAGGAAGGCAAATTCCACAATGCCATCCTGCTCTGGGAAGCCCTCCCCAGAACTGCAGAATATTAACACACACTTCCTGTTAGATGCTCCAGTTTCTGCAGAGATCAGGCTCCAGAGCTGACAGGCCCCTACGGTGATGTCAGAGTTGGAGGCAGGAGCCAGCCCAGCCCTTCCCCCCGCAGCTTCATGGCACTGTTGATGGTCCTGTCTAGACCATCCATTGCAGGAGTCAGGGATGCTAAGCCAGGCTAAACCACACACTGTGAAACTGCCCGCCTGTGCCGGCCAGCTTGCCTCACCTTGGCAAGCTATATGTGAGAGGAGGGAGCTTCAGTTGAGAAAACGCCTCTGTAAAATCAGGCTGTGGGGCATTTTCTTAATTAGTGACTGATGTGGGAGGGTCCAACCCACTGTGGGTGGGGCCATCCCTGGGCAGGTGGTCCTGGGTTCTATAAGAAAGCAGGCTGAGCAATCCATGGGAACAAGCCAGTAAACTCCTCACGGCCTCTGCATCAGCTCCTGCCTCCGGGTTCCTGCCCTGTGTGAGTTCCTGTCCTGACCTCTTTCCATGATGAACAGTGATGATGAAGTATAAGCCACATAGACCCTCTCCTCCCCAGGGTGTTCTGGTCGTGGAGTTTCATTGTACAGATGGTGGCCCTGACTGGGAAGCTGCTTCTCCCTGGAAATCTATAAAAGTCAGAAATCCCCCTTAGGGACATGAAGGCTCTTCCTTCGGGCTCCCATCACGCATGGCCACTGGTGCTGTCCCACCTCAAGGCCTGGCCGTGGCGCTCCACACACCCGAGGTCCCAGGTGCTCCCCGATGACGCTCTTCTGTCTGCAGGGTAATTCTGCACTGGCTCGCTCTTGAGCCTGCAGACAATTCCCAGCACTCCTCACTCTGTTTCCTCCAGACTCCCACAGCTCCATCCCAGGCGGTGTCCAGGTACGATTTCAAACCTGTCGGAAGGCCCTCTGCTTCCCTCAGGTGCCCCAGAGAGGCAAAGCTGATATTCCACCAAAGGCACCCAAGTATCTTCCTGGCACTCCGTGGAAGCCCCGGGAGCTAACAGTAGGTGGCGCCAGCGCACAGCCTCCGCTGAGCCTGGAGCCGCCGCTCAAGTTCCAACCAGCTTCCCAAGGGAAGTCTGGACCTGTCAGGGATGCTGTGTGGCAGCTTCCCTCGATTGAAGGGGAGGAGGAGGAGATGGTGACAGCTGTGAAGCTCAGGAGGTAGACAATCTGAGAATGCTGAAGCTGTAGAAACCATCAACGGTGGCGCGGGGCAGGGACTCTGGCCAGCAAAGCTGCCGAGGGGAGATTCTCAGACTTGTTGGGCGCCTGCATGAACTGCAAGAGCTCCAGGATGCAGCTTTCGGCACCCCTGCCCTGACCCTGGTGAGGTGGGCTTTTCACTGGCTACTTTTCAGTCACCCCTCTTCCTGTGAGTGACCCCAGTAAAAAAAAACTCAACCAGCTTCACCAAGTTGGATTTCAGTTCAATCATTACTTTGGTCTGTGGTGGGTTCCTTGTCTAGGATAAGCAGATGTGTTAATGATGTGTTTTCCCAGGAAAAGTCTGTCACACCATGCAGAGAATGTGGAGAGACAGCCGTGATTGGGAGAACAGAAAGACACGAGCACCCCCCCCCATGTGGGACTTCCACGAGCCTCTTCCAGAAAGTGTCCCCCACAGAGAATCGAGGCTCCCTCTCCACCACTTTGGGCAGCGGCCTCCTCCTCCCTTGGTGGTGCCAGCCTGCAAGTCTGCAATGCTTCCATCCACCACTGCAGCCGAATCTGTCAGGTCCCAAAGAAACCCGGGTCAAATGGCCAGTGGTGGTGCCTATTAGCATACCCAAGTGTCTGCTTGGCCTCTGGGCTCACTCAGTACCTGTGGCTCCTCTCAGCTCTCCTCACCCTGCCCCCTGCCCTCTACCCCCTGCCCCCTACCTCTCCAGCCCCCGAGCTTCACTCTCCCCAGCTTCTCTTTCCTATAAAAATGTGCCTTTGGCAGTGGGACCGAGTCCTGTGCTCATTGCATGAGTTGGCTGTTTGAAACCTGGGGCTTATGCAGGGACACTTGGCTCAGACTGGGAGGAAGGGACTGGACCTGCCTGGACTGAGTCTACCAGGTTGATTGCAGTCCTCGGGGGAGGACTTGTCCTGGAGGAGGTGGGAATGGG